GGACCCTGGGATCATGACCTGAGCCGAAGGCAGACGCTTAACGACTGAGCCACCCAGGCGCCCTGGGAGCTGCTATTTTATATTATGACTGCTTTTTAAAATTTTGTTCACGGATCTGATAAATCTAGATCTCTAATTCTTTTTTTTTTAAGATTTTATTTATTTATTTGACAGAGAGAGACAGCTAGAGAGAGAACACAAGCAGGGGGAGTGGGAGAGAGAGAAGCAGGCTTCCCACCGAGCAGGGAGCCCGATGCGGGGCTCGATCCCAGGACCCTGGGATCATGACCCGAGCCGAAGGCAGACGCTTAACGACTGAGCCGCCCAGGCGCCCCTGGGATTCCATTTTCAACTCAAAAACTGGTGCTCTTTGCTCAGTGCCAGGCTTCTCCTACCTCCACCCCGGAAGGCCTGGAGAGGGAGGGTGGGAAGGGCCCCGAGCAGGGTTGACGCTCTTCTCCCCGCTGCAGAACTCCTGCCCTCCCACCTCGGAGCTCCTGGGCTCACCGGGCCGCCTCTTCTGGGAGCCTATGAAGGTCCATGACATCCGCTGGAACTTTGAGAAGTTCCTGGTGGGGCCGGACGGTGTACCCATCATGCGCTGGTACCACCGGACCACGGTCAACACCGTCAAGATGGACATCCTGGCTTACATGCGGCGGCAGGCGGCTCTGGCGGTCAAGGGGCAGTAAATCAGACCTGCCCTCCCCCCCGCCCCGTGTCCACCGTGCGGGGGCTGGGGAGGGGCTCCATTCAGGAAGGAATCCGTTTCTCCAACCACACCACACTCCCACCATAGACCCCTCGCTATTCCACAAGGCCCCCGCCTGACGCAAACATGTGCGTACGATTGTGTCTGTACTGCCGTGCACGTGGGTGTCTGCACGCATGCCCACAGGCGCGTGTGACCACGTGTGTGCGCGAGTGAACAGCCACCTGTGTCCACCTGCGGGAATATGGGCAACGCATACCATATGCGTACGCACAGCTGTGTGCTGCAGAGAGTGCGAGAAAATACCTCCCCTTTCTCTCCAATTCTGACGATAACCATTCACTTTCAGCTGAGCCCACGGTAAAACCAGCTCTCGATCCAACGGTTCTGTTCTGACCTACACCTCGACTTTGGGGCCAGCATCTCCCATTGCCTCCAAATATCACCACTGAAGGGCCCAGAAGTTTCTGGGTCTACCGCACTGCCCAGTCTCCCTACTCTCCACCATGCAGCCCCTCTCTTCCTGAAGGGCCCTCCCAAGCCCCCTACCCCACCCCATAGTGCTCCCTGAGAGCAGCCAAGGCAGATGTGAGAGCAAGGGCCACGTTCCCCGGGTCAGGAATGGCATCTCCATGAAGGAGGGGCCCGAAGCCCTTATGGGCGGACCTCCCCTGAGCCTGTCTGAAGGGCCAGCCCTTAGTGCATTCAGGCTGAGGCCCTTGGGCAGGGATGCCGCCCCTGCTTTTCTGGAGGATGTGCCCTCTCCCCTCACCCTGGTCCCTGGCATTAGACTCCCCCCACCCCACCCCCCCCGTCTGCCCAGTAAAGGCCTTTCTGCAACAGCTGAGCCTACTGTGGTGCTTCCTCCATGGGGCCACCCTCGGTTGCGGGGGGGGCGGGGGGAGTTGGAGGAAGCAAAAAGAAATGGAGGGAATGCTTCGGGCCCCTGCTGTTTGGTTTCTACCTAGACCCACTCTGCTTCTCTAACTTGGCATTTGGAGTTTACAAAACCAGTTCCCATCCACGCTCACTCCCTCCCACAATTCTCCAGGCAGCCGGGGCTGAGACGAGGTAGTCCATGTGACAGGTGAGGAAACAGCCTCACCGAAGGGCCGGCCTTGCCCACTGCCCCCTGACGTGTGAGGGGCAGGACTGGAATTGAAACCCAGGTCCCCTGATTCTCGGCCCAGACTCCTTCCACTGGCCCTGGGTGCCTCACCTTTGGAGAGGCTCAGAGCAGAGCCCCGGGGCTATCTGCCCAGAGCCCTGGTGATGCTCTCAGGGGACTAGGGGGACCGGGACACAGAAAGCAGCACTCTCACTGACTGGGAGGGGAACGCTAGCCAGGGCATAAAAGAACACAAACACAAATCATAGAGCACTGATCTTCAACTTGGATTTATGTCCAAGATTCGTGCAAACAGCTGCCCAGGGACAGCCAGCCACCTTGATCTGGGCCTCTGGCACCGCAAGCCTCCAGCTTCACGGTGGGCCCCTCAGCACATGTGGCTGGCGGGGCCTTCATCCCAGGCTGCCATGGTGCTGGCAAGGCTGCCGTGGGTGGAAGTGGTCCTGCAACAGGACGCCTGTCATTCTCTCCTGCTTCTGGGAGCAAACCCGCTCTTCCCGCAGCTCCTCAGAGGGGAAGGCTTGGGCACGGGGCAGGTCCGGCTACCATAGAGCTTGAAGCAAAAATTAAACACACACGTGAATGGGACATGTTCCACCGAGGGGCTGGAACCACTTCCAGGGAAGTTTCGAAAGGAAGGGGTCTCCACTGCACCCCACTCTTGAGACTGAGGTTCCCCAGTGATTCCACAAAGCATGGCAGGTCAAAGTCGGATGAGGCCTCTCGCCACTTGGCTGCAAGGTAGTGAGTTTCTCCTGGTCACCCCAAAGGAGGGGCCAAATGGAAGCCTTCCGGGTGGAGCCTCTCCAGTTCGGAAACAGTTTAGTTCGGGCTGGGGCACAACCCAGTGGCCCATCAGCCTCCCATCCAACCAAGGCTCTGGCCACACAGAGAACATGGCCTCTAGTTTTTCAGCAATCAGATCAGGTGGCTCTGTAAGACGAAGGTGGAGCCAAGTGACATAATCTGGTCTCACTGAGGCCCCTCACGGTCATTTTTCGTAGACTCTAAATAAAGAAAAACATAGAGGACTTTAAAAATGATGGGGTACAGGAGGTTTCAAAGGCCTAGAGAAACGAGCAAGTAACAATGGAAATCACAGAGTTGAATGCTGCCGAGCACCAGGCCCTGGGCTAGGACCTTAGGTACATCTGTCATTCAATCCTTGCCCTGCCCTTTGAAGCAGGCAGATTATTTTCCCTTTATGGAGGAGGGAATAAGGACACAGAGAGATTTTTAAGAATTTGCCTAAAGTTCCAGATCTAGGAAGCGTTTGGGCTTAGCCCATCTGGCTCCAGATCCCAGAGGTGGAGCAGTTCTCGGGGTGGGGAGAGCCCTGCCCATTCGCCCCTCATCCCAGCAACATCCCAGGGGCTCCAACACAACCTCTAGGGCTCTGCCAGGAGCCATGAGAAAACAGCTGAGCAGCCCGATGCCTCCTCCCACCCACAGTGCCTCCACGTCCTCCTGCAGCCCCTGCTTGCATCCCTTCTGTGAGGGGCCCTCTCCCTCCCGGCAGAGCCACAACCCATGGAAAACACCTGTTTGTGCTGAGAAGGACTCGGCTCCCCTGCTCCCCCGCAGGAGGCAAGGGAGTGCCTTCGGCCCCGCAGAGCCCCGCAGAAAGCAAAGGCAGTCACTGGGGCCCCGGAGTCCTCCTGTGACCTGTGAACCAACCTCCGGTCCTCAGCTGCTGCTGGCCGGCACCATGACCGGATGGAGCTTTTCAAAATGCATATCTGATCTGTCACGCCACTCTGCTTTAAACATGTCCAAGGGGAGCACATCGTCGCTAGGATAAAGACCAGCCCCCCTGTCCATCATCTGCAGGTCCCTGTTCAGCCTGGACTCACCTACCTTCCTGACCTTGCCTCGCCCAGCTCTCCTTCCCCACCTTGTCCTCGGCTTCTCCAGTCTTCTCTGGCCTTCTCCCCATCCTCCAGTTGGCTTCCCTTCTCCCCTCCCTCCCACCAGGGCCTTTGTATTTGTCATTTCTCTGCAAGAACATCCTCCATTGTCCCCCCTTCACCTGGTTAATGCCATGCACTCTGAGGGTCCCGACTCCAACATCACTGCCCCCCGGCCCAGGTCAGGTCACCCTGCTATCTGCTCTCATAGAAACCTGCTCTCCTTCCTTCACGGCACCTAAGTGCAATCAAAGGCCCGTCTGTGTGACTTTGTGTGTGCATTTTACTCATTTCTTCCTCCCTCACTAGGCAGTAAGCTCCGCAAGGGCAGGAACCATTATCTGTTTGTACTCACGTGGCTTCCCTGGCACCCAGCAGAGCACCTGGCATTTGGACACCACACTCAGATAAATGAATGAATGACTTCAACCCCCTCCCCCCGCAGTCACCTCCCCATCCTCTCAACACTGTTTTGGAACGTGAGGTCTCTCTTCCACCAAGAGCAGAAGGTGGTGATATCATCCCCAGACTGGGGCGTTCCTGGCAGGTAAGACATTATCTCCCCAAGGGGAAGACAAGACCCAGGACTAGACCACGCTCACCTGGTTCCACAGGCCTGGCTGTGGGCGAGTCCATCACTTGGGAGCTCTGATTGCGCATGCCTCCAAAGGGCGGCCGCCAGGTGTATTCTGGCTGCAATGAAAGTGCTTAGTAGTCAATAATCACACTCCAAAGTTACAGTAGGGGCCACCACGCCAGCACGGCACGGAGCACGTGCTCATCCAGTACAACTGAATCCTTACGACAACCCAGGGGGCCATCCCCATTTTACAGGTAAGGAAACTGAGGCTCAGAGGGGTTAAGAAACTTGCTGAAGGTCATCGAGCTAAGAAGGGGGCCAACCTTCGGTTCTAGGTCTCTATAACCCCAGAGCCCTTCTCCTAAGCCCCGCATTCCACTCCAGTGTAGATTGCCAAGAGGATGTGTGTAAGGACTGGGCAGAGCAGAAGAAGCTGGGAGAGGCCAGGCAGGAGGCACTGCCACTGTCCAGGTGGGAGTGGGGACACCAAAGCAGAAGGAGAGGACGGGACAGGTGGCAGGAGCTCTTTGCAAATAAAAGGAAAGAAAGAAGAGAGGGGAGGGGACAGGAATGCAAGGGAAACTGGAAAAGGGGAAAAGAGAAGGAAAGCGAAGGAGGGAATGCATGGTGAGGGCCTGGTACCTGGTTACAAGTGCAAGTTCTAAGAAAAAGTCAAACCCAAACTCTGATCCCTGTGGCCTGCTTGGTTGGAGGGAGCCCTCCTTCCTGCCCTCCCTCTGAGCCTTTCCCGTCCTACACCAGAGAGCCTGAGCGGCTTTGGGCTGGCCGGTCCTGCCTGGCTCTGGACATCTGCCTGCACACCACAGTGCTGTTCAGCCAAGAGCCAAGGATGCAGTCTCAGACCCCCTCACTTGGCCTCGCCCTCCGCAAAGTGCGTGGGCTGGCCGCTCCGTGTGTTCTGGACTGAAGGGGGGACACAGACTCACCAGATGGAAGAGGCGTGAGTTTGGGAGCGGGGGCGGGTGCTCCATGGCCATGGGGGGCGGGGGGTAGCGGATCTGGGACCAGTCCTCAAAGCCGTGGTGTGGCACCAGGGCCGGCACGGCCGTGTAGGCATACGGGTAGGCCCCGCACACGTGCTCTGGGGGGGGCTCCACGTGGTAGCGCTCGGCCGAGGCCTGCAAGAGATGTTGACATCGGGCTCTGGCCCGCGACAGGCCATCCCCAGTGACACCCGTCTCCTCTCCCTTTCTCTACTTGGTATCTTAGTTCTCTGAAGGCTGGTCGATGGGCACAGAATATCCACCGACGACAGCTCATGTGTCCCGAGCGCCTACTCTGTACCAAGCACTGTCCAAGCGCTCGACCTGCATTACCTCCGTGATTAGCTGGACAGCTGAGCAGAAACTGCCTCTCCCCTCAGACTGTAGCTCCCTGAATAAGGTTAAGATGAGGTGAGTGCTGCTTCCTCCCTCAAACCTCCTCACCTTTGCTTTCCTCTTCTGCTGTCTGAGGGCTTCTTTTGTCTTCTCCTCATCTTTGAACGCTTTTAGCTGAGAGGAGGAGGGAGGGAGAGAAGACTGTTGGCTCGGGTGCTTCCTGGCCAGGCCTGGACCCAGGCCGACTGACGCATGGATGCACGGGGCCGGCACTCTCGGCGGCCCGCCTGGCCCAGCCCGGGGAGGGAAGGCCCCCGTGGGGCAGAGCACAGCCCCGGCTGGTGGCTGCAGGTGAGGCCTGCTCACCGTGGGGGGTCTGAACACAGGTCAGGAGGGCTCACACGAGCCTCCTGTTGCTCTGCATCCCTATTAACACCCTTTAGTTCCACTCAGTGAGAGTGGGGGGCTCCGACTGTGGGGGTGGGAGTCAGAGGTCAGAGAGGGGAAGGGACTTGCGGAGGTACGCAGAAATCTGGTGGCAGAGCTGGAAGAACCAGTGCGTGTCCTGACTTCCAGTCTCACCAGGGACCCTCCGATCCACACCCCTACCCTGTGAGGACAGGCTGGTTGCCCCTTCCTTGGCCCAGCTGCTCTCACCTGGGCATTGGACAGGGTGACCTGGGCCTGCAGTTTCTCCACCTGCTTCTTCAGCTCTTCCTTCTCCTCATTCATGCGTTCTCGATCGCTGCGCTCCCTCTGGAAGTCCTCCTCAAAGATCTTCACCTGGAGGGGAACGGAGAGAAGGGGAGGGGTGGGGAAGGTGAGGGAGGAGGGGCTCAGGCCGCTCTGGCCCCCTGCTGGTTTCACCCCATCCTCACAGACATTGTGAAGAGGGGAACGGGTGTACCTCTGGCTCCCCACGTCCACCTGCAAACAGGCTAGATCTGGGTCCCTCTATTTTATATTCTGGGCTTCAACACAGGGCTTTATTTAAACAAGGTATCTGTGGCTTAAAAAAAAAAAAGGGGGTCACAAGCCCCCAACCAGTCCAACCCTTTCATTCTGTTAAGGCCCCCACGAGAGGTGAAGCCACAGGCCCAGAGTGTGGATGCAAGACTGGAGCTTGTCTCCTGGCTCTCAGAGGACCTACAGAGCTCTCCCAAGGCTTCGAGGGCGCCTCGCGGCTCCCTGCTTCTGAGCCTGCACTTTCATATCCCACTGCAGACCAGTGAGACACTGGCCGGGTTAGGGATGGTTTATGAGGCTCCAGAGCATGACGTCAAATAGAAACACATGGGCGAGCCCTAGCCTTTCCAGTTTCCTTTCAGTCCTTCTGTGCCCCTCAAGGAGAAAGTCTCCATTTATGCTCTCAGGTCTTTAACATCTTTCCAGTACTTCTTAATTTCCCTTCCCCTCCCTCGAAGAGGACTCAAGTTCAGAGTCTTCATCAGGCAAGAGTATCCAGTTAGAGTTTAATAATACTGTTTTTCTTTTACTGTATTTATTGCTTACAGTTACTTTCCATTTGTGGCAAATTATAAACAGCGTTTTCCATTTATAGTAGTGATATAAAGTTCCTTTTTAAATACATTTATTGAAAGTAACTAATTTAAAATTCATTTTTTTATTATTTTTTAAAAGATTTTTATTTATTTATTTGACAAAGAGAGAAAGAGCACAAGCAGGGGAAATGGTAGAGGAAGAGGGAGAAGCAGGCTCCCCACTGAGCAAGAACCCGACACAGGGCTCGATCCCAGGACCCTGGGACCATGACCTGAGCCAAAGGCAGATGCTCAACCTCCTGAGCCACCCAGGTGCCCCTAAAATTTTTTTTTTAAATATTAGGTAAATAATAGCACAACTGGGGTATAGAGATGGTTGACTCAAAAAGGTGGCAGAGGAATGACCTAGTTAGGGACACAGTGCTAGAAAGGATAAACCTATAACCAGACAGGGGTCCAGGCCAGCAGCCAGAATGTGGACTACTAATTAGAGCTTCCACATGATGCCAAGCCCATTGTGGGTCCTCAGGAATGCTCCAGCTGCCCACTCAGCACCTCCTACCTCTCGGGCTCACCTGCTGTTTCAGCAATTCGTTCTGTGTGACCAGCTCCTGTTTCCTTAGGAGGCCACCAGCTCCTTCTGGGCCGCCAAATGCTGCTGGTGGAGAGGAGGGGGAGGCCTGGATGCTCAGTGCTTCCTCCAGGGCCTGGGATTGGGAAGAAGGGAGACAGGCCCATTAGCAGAAGCCCCAGAAGTCTGGCCCCATTGGAGAGGTCATCTTCAGTGACCGCCTTCCTGACATGAGTGACAATAATAACTGCCACCACCAGGACAATTTAATAAGTGCTACCGTATTTATTTACACTATACACACATCATTTCATTGGATCCTCTCCACGGTCCTATGAAGAAAGACTATGATCGTCAACCCCATTTGACAGATGTGAAAACTGAGGTTCAGAAATCCATGACATGTCCAAAGTCACACAGCTCATAAGCAGACTAACTGGGGGGGTCCTCACATAGAAGGGAGAATCTCCCCTTCTCCGAGCAGGTGCAGCTCAATTCCTAGCACCCAGACCTAGAGAGAATATTAAGCCCTTCGGGGAAGCTTCCATGTCCTCAACCACTGCCTTGCCCTCTGATTCTTGAGCTTTCCAAACCTATGGTTACCAAGCCAACCTTTCTGTCCCCAGCTCTTCTCTAGTTAGATTACACTGGAATTTAATTTTGTCTTAGTTAGTATTTTGCCTATCTAAGCCTGAAAATGGGCTGAAACATCACCAAACTACATTTTGAAAACAAAATAAAAGCACCCTTCTTCTACCACGCTCACAAAATCCTTTCCTTTATGGAAGCAGTGTGCTCAGAACTTAAAAGGTCTCTATTAACGGGTTTTCCCTTCAGCTCGGTGAATGCGGTATTCGAGAACTCTGGAACGCTGCTCAGCACCCACCACGCTCATCGCCACCTGGACTTTAGCCCCCGGCGCAGCGGGGCTTCTGCTTGCCACACATTAGCAGTGCCCACAGTGCCTCCCTAGACAGTGGGGGGACAAAGAAAACCTCCCCCAACTTGGACTTGGGCCCCCGCTTAGTCTCTTTGACTCTCCCAGAAACCCATGGAAACTGCTGAGCCGAGAGTAAGCCCTGGACACTGCAAGGGGAAGTCATGGCTCTACTTTATCCTCCTGCTCCATGTGCCTATTTTTTAGATGAGAAGACTGAGGTCCAGGGACGCGGAGAGACTTGCCTGAGGTCACAAGCAAAGCAGTCACTCACACGTGTGTCTCTGTCCCCCGCAATGCCAGGGAAACCCGGAGGGCAGTGATCCAACCTGAGTGACCTCTAGGATCTGGCACCATGTGCAATATCGTGCCTGGATTTAGGCCTCCAAGTCCCCCAGCTCGGGACAGGTCATTCTTTTTTTGAGAACAGGTCCCAAGGTTCCCCAGACTCGGCAAAATCAATGCTTATCAAACCCCAAAACCAAATAGAAAGGGTTCCCCTAGCAGGGCTGGGGCCCAGTGAATATGCCAAACTCATGACAGAGCCTACTGTGGGCAAGGTCAGGAGGCGGGGGGAAGGCAGACAGACAGGAAAGGAGGCAAAGATGAACCACGGACAACTCCTCCAGGCTTGCAGAGAACGTTTCCTTTCAAAGCTTCCTCTTGTTAGTTCGCTCCTTTAACCCCTGGGCTGGAAGGCAGGCAGGGCTGGAAGGTGTCCAACCAGGGTTCAGATGACAAAACTGAGGCCCAGAGAGGCTGGAGTGGGTAAGCTGGGACTAGAACCAGCCCCCAGAGCCGGCCTCACCCCTACCCACTCGCCTTGGCTCAAAACAGCAGGCCTCTGCTTTAAAATCCAGCCTCCGGGCGCCTGGGTGGCTCAGTCGTTAAGCGTCTGCCTTCGGCTCAGGTCATGATCCCAGGATCCTGGGATCGAGTCCCACATCGGGCTCCCTGCTCGGCGGGAAGCCTGTTTCTCCCTCTCCCATTCCCCCTGTTTGTGTTCCTGCTCTCGCTATCTCTCTCTCTGCCAAATAAATAAATAAAAATCTTTAAAAAAATAAAATAAATAAAATAAAATAAAATCCAGCCTCCACCCGGATGCCCCATCTCCCTGGGTCCCGATTCTCAAGGGCAGGAACCCTCGGGCCTCTGCTCATCCACTCCCTTCAGCAGGTGTTTCCTGAGCATGCGCTTGGTGCCAGGCACTGTGCCGGGCGCTGGGGGCACACAGGCTGGTGAAGAGGAGCAGCTCCCCCCAACCCCCAGAGGGGAAGACAGATCATCAAACAGGCCATCAAAGGAGATGCAAGGCGCCCACCTTGTTGAGCCTCTGGATCTCCTTTTCCTGGTATTCCCGCTGCCGGGTGAGCGGGCTCAGCTGATCCTGCAGGTACTTGACCTTCTGGCGCAGCTCCTTGGCCTCTGCTGTCAGCTGCTCCTTGTCGGTCTGCAGGGAACACAGGGCTGGTCGGCAGGGAGCCCCTCCAGGAGGCCTGAACGCACTGCACCGCCTGCCCCAGCCCCCCGTCAGCCAGGCCTCCTCTCTGCCTCTCCCTCAGCAGTCCCCAGTGCTCACGTGAAGACACCATGCAGGGCATCAGAGCCGTAATGCCCATACCGTCCTGTCCTCAAGGAAAAGGCAGCTCGGTTCATTGAAAGACTCTGGGTTCTGATACCAGCAACTCTGCCAAGGAGCTGAGACCTTGGCCACTGCCACAGTACTCTCTGGTCTATGTTCCCCTCTCTGCCATGGGTCGGGGTCTCTTAACAGGAGTCACGGATGGGTGTCAGGAGGTCTGTGAGCCCCAGAACAGGAGGCAAAATTTTGCCTGTGCAATTTTCTAAGGAGAAGAGCCATAGTTTCCACGAGATTTGCACGGGGTCTTCTGTGATGCACAGAAGTGATCAACCACTGAGAACACTGAAAGGACCTTTCAGCTCTTACAGCCTCTAAGCCTAGGAGAGAAGACACTTAAATAAATGCAGCATAAAAGGTAGAGAGTGTTCCTCCGCAGAGGAACAAAGTACTACGAGGTGAAAAGAAAGAGCGCCACAGCTAAGAAACCAGGGAGGGCTTCCAGGTGGAAGCCCCGCTCCCACACCCACTATGGAACAGGCAGGGATCCTTCACTGCAGAGGGCCACAGCTGGACTGGCCTTTAAGAGAGCATCAAACCCTAATCCCTGATGTGACGGCAAATGAATGTCCAGAGAGGAGACGTGACTTACCTAAGGCTACACAGTGAGCTGGGGCTAGAAGCCAGGTCTCCTAATTCTGGTGCTCCCTCTCCCCTTGCAAGTCAAAGGAAGTGTTTCAAATAGGGGAGGTCAGCCAGAGATTGGGGAGAGCAGCCTTGGGAAGACCTTGTGGGAGGTGTTCTGGACTCCCACTTGAGAGGCTCCAGGATTAGCATGGCCTCTTATCACCATGTGTCCTTAACACAGGGCCACCTCCCCCCCAGCTAACAGGGAGGACGGTCCCATCCTGGGGACTTATCTCACCCACGGCTGCAAGCTGGGGGAAGGGACAAAAGAGCCAGGGGTCCGGTGGACAGTCGCAGATGTGACTGCACTCGGAGAAAAGACAGGCAGGGTCCTCCCTCACTAACACACACGTTCAAGGCAAGGGGTGGTCACTGAGGCAGGCTGACCCCTCGGATAAAGCCCCTGGGTGTCACATGCTGACAGAGGGAACTCTGAAATGCAATCCGTGTTGAAAATGGCCATTTTTAAGCTAGGCCAAAGCAGCCTGTGCCCAGTTCCCACGAAGGGGAAGACACTATGACATAAATACAATCTTCCAAGAGTCTGGGGGCCCTGAGGCCTTTCCTTGTTAAGCTGGCCCAGGATCCTGGAGGCCTTGGCTGCTATCGGTCACACACTGACGGATCAGATGCGATTTCTTCAGGGCACCTGCTCCTGGCCCCCCTCAGACTGACCTGGTTCCCCTTTACGCCCTCCCGCCGCTCCCTGGAACTTCTCCTGTGATACTTGAACACACCTGTTCATATTTGTTTCTGCAATGACTTGTTTCCCACCCGCTGATCTGCTCACCGCTGAGTCTCTGCGCCCAGCACGGCGCCAAGTGCACGCTCTGTTGAACAGCGGCTGGACGAGTGAAGAAAGGGAGCTCTGTCTAATATTTGAGCCCCCCCTCCCCCCCAGACAGCCATCACTACTCTAAACACTCAGCAGCAGCCCACTCCCATCAAGCACCCGGGCAGCCTGCATGTGTCCTTTATACTCTGTGCTTCCCTGTACGGTCCCCTGGTCCGCACCGTTTTAAGTGAACAAACAGCTCTTCTGCATGCAAACACGAAAATATGGAAAGCGAGAGCTGATCCAATCTCTCAATATTCAGATGGGAAACTGAGGTACAGGGAAGGAAAGTGCTTTCGCCTGTGGCCACACAGCCCTTAGCGCTTGAGCCAGAGCTGGAGCCCCCAGGCCTCCTGAGCGGAGCCAGCAGGGACCAGCAGTCAACTTGCCTCCTCCATTTCGATCTTGGACTTGGCCAGGAGGAGCTTCCGGTCAAAGTCACGCTGCTTCTGCTCCCGCTCAGCCTCCAGGTCAGTCACCTGCTTCTGTAGGTCAGCCAGCTTCTGCCGAAGCTCAGTGATCTGGGTTCAAAGGCAGAGAGTGGGAGTGTGTGAGGGAAGGGGTGAACCTCCAAGGTTCCAAGCTCCTGAGACGGAAGCAGCAGGCCAGAGACGGGGGAGGCCCCGAGAGCACAGCCGGGAACCTGGGGCTCAGCCTCGAGTCCCCATCACCCCACACTACCTTCTGCTCGTACTGCTGCTTCATAGACCGGAAATGCTGGTCCCACTGCTTGTTCACTTCGAGCAGCTGTGGGGAGAGACGGGTTAGCAGGAGATAAGCCGCGAAGAGACAAAGAGGGACAAGTCCACACAGACCAGCTGCCCACGGTGCGCGCGGCGTGTGCGGGGGGAACGGTGGCCATGGACGCTTTGCCTGAAACCCTCCCTCCTTGAAGACTCGGTGATCCCCAAGGAGGAAGCTTCATCAAGTGCTCTATTTTATCCTCGCCAGAGAAGCAAGGCTAACACCAAAGGAACAGCGTGTAATTTTGGCGTACAGTTACACAACACATGTGCGACCTGGGATTGCGTACAAAAGCTTCCTTTGTCTCTGAAAATGAAACCTGAAGAAGCACTTGCACAAGTGTGTGTAAGTACACGCGTACCAGGCTGGCCGTCTCAGCAACGTCTGTGTGCCTGCAAAATCTAGAGGACTACCGACACGTAGGAGGTGGGTTAAGAAAATCATACTACAGACTGAAAATGAGGTGCTGTGCAGTTATTAAGAAAATCAGGCCCCCGATACACTGCTGCATTTCTAAGATGACCCCAATTATTTGCCAGACGTGACAGAACACTTCCTCAGGGAAGAAAAACAATCCTATACCATTAACTACATAAAACAATGGGAAAAGCTATCCCCATTTCAGACATGTTAACACATGATAAAGAGTACTCAGAAGTGAAGAAATATAGTGTATGCTTGATACATAATAACTACCCTTAAAAATATAGCTAATTTGGGAGGAGAAAAGAAAAACAGTAATCTGCAGTCATGCAGTATCAAGGATATAAATTTTCCTGCTTATTTTAAAAAACAGATTATAGGGCGCCTGGGTGGCTCAGTCGTTAAGCGTCTGCCTTGGGCTCAGGTCATGATCCCAGGGTCCTGGCATCGAGCCCCACATTGGGCTCCCTGCTCGGCGGGAAGCCTGCTTCTCCCTCTCCCACTCCCCCTGCTCGTGCTCCTGCTCCCACTGTGTCTCTCTCTCTGTCAAATAAATAAATAAAATCTTTAAAAAAAAAGCCGATTATACATTAGTAAGTACATAATAAAACTTAGGACTGTTGCCAACTTGTGGGCATCCCTAGGTGGTGAGGTTCTCAGTATTTTTCTAATGAGCATTATGTTACTTTTGTCATCATAACAAAGACCTCAGAGCAATACAAAAAGAAAACTAGAACTGATATGCACACGTAAGCAAAGACTGATGGAGGCCTGACCTGCACATGTGCTGGAGGCCCAGGGAGGGCAGCAAGGCCCAGGAATCCATAGGAGAAGCTGAGCTGTGAGGGGAGGAGTGGCTAAGACAACAGACAGGATCGGGCTTCCACCTCCAGTCTGGAAATACTGGCCCGGGATGGGAGATGGAGGAGGCACATGGGCACAGCCTCAATTCTGGAGACTTCCAGCTGGTGAGAAGCAGTGCTACTAGAAGGCGTCGGATCCTCTCCTTCTGTGACAGTCCCCCGCCGCCCCGACCCAGCTTCCCCAGTGACAGAGGAGCCCCAGGCTCCCCATCCCTGATGCTGCCACCTGCCTACCTCATCACAGCCTCCTTCCACCATCCAGGGTGTACCACGGGAGCCTTCCTAAACTATCCCCCTGCCAACAATTTTAGGCCAGGCCCCAAACGCCACCTCTTCCGAGTGACCCTTGTAGGCAGGGGAACTGATTAAGAAACTGCTGCCAGAACAAGGCAGCAGGTCTCTCCCACGGGCAGATGGTTCCGTGGTCACCATGGCAACTAACCACGGTGACCTGGGATGAGACAGGGGGCCAGGAGGGCCTTTGTCCTGCCAGGCCCAGGAGGGACGGAGGGTCCTCCCTGACCACCACCACCACCCCCTCCAGCCACCTACCTCAGCGCGTTGTTGTTCCAGCATCTTCACCTTCTTCTCAGCCGCACCCAAGGCCCCCACCTCTGGGCTCTTCCCTGCTGCCACACAGGCCTGGGGAGCACCAGAGAACGGCCCTCAGCAAAGCCTCAAAGAACAGTCCTGTCGCCCACTCGGTGCTCCTTGAAGGCCTACGCCCAGGGACCCAGCCCTTGGTCTCCCACTTCTCTAATCTGCCCACCGGCCAGGACACCACTACACATCCCAGCCATGACTAAGCCTGCTCTGGAAAGTCTACCAGATGACCATTCCTCCTCCCCTGCCCTCCTGCCCTCCTGCCCTCCGCTCGCTCCCCTTCCCATGGCCGCCTCTTGCCCTGCTCAGACTCT